GGTGCCTTCCTCGGGTAACGCGGCGGGGGGAACGCCGCCCTGCCGTCGTGGGGTATGTGCTCGTGGCCCCCCGAAAGTTTTCGGGGAAAGGGGAGGCACAGCAGCCTGTTAACGCAGGTGGGCGCCTCGGCGTCTGTCGCGGTTAGAGGCAGGGCCCTTCTGGGGAAACGGCGCGGCGCGGTTCGTCCCCAGGCCCTCCTTTACAGCGGGCCCGGACTAACATATGCAGGGGATAACATCTCAAACTTTTGACGTGGATTCTGTGTACCTCTGCTCAGAGGGAGGAAATTTTAGGTTGGAGGATGCTTGCTCTTAATGTTTCTTGTAGACCCGAACACCACCTAAACTGTTGCTGGAAGAATAAAGTGCAGAAGGCACCAAAGGAACGCTATTCAAAGCACTATCTAACTTTTTGCATTGTTTTATTTTTGTGGAAGTTGCTTACGTTGCTGAAATCTAACAGCGGGAAGTACAACCTTGATGGGGATTCCAAGTGCATAATGTTGTGACTCACATAATATGCTATCGTGTTCTTGCATTTTCATCACAAGTAACTTGAAGCGAGCTTTTTTTCTGTATTTTAAGTGACACACTTGTGTATAAAGATAAGTAAAATAAGGTTATTTAAAAGAATTACTATACAAGAAAAAAGGAAATACCTTTGTGCAGGACTAGAACTATTGTACAGCTTGCGGACAGCTGAATGCTGCAAGATTTGCATTGTATTAATGTTGTAGGGAGTTTTACAGTATGTTGTGCCATATAGCTAAACCAGACTGGATCCTTCTAATCCGGAGTTAAAAAGCTGTTGAGTTGCAGCTTTCCTCGTGCTGCCCCTCCTCTCCCAAAGCTACAGTTTCAGGCAAACTTTTTAAATGACTGACCAATTTCTCGCTCCCCTCGACACTGATTTTGCTAGATTGCTCCTCTACAGTGCTCTGTACAACGTATGAACATTGTAGTAGACCTCTTAAATAACTTCTTTCTGTTACTAAATTCTAAAATAGCTCCAGAAAGGTACATGAAACCGAAGCACTTCCATGTGTAGGTGAAGAGATGAAACAAACCTCGTATGGGGAAAAAGAAATGTCCTAAAATATGCTTACAGATTTAGAATTTCACTTGCAAGAGAAACAGTTAAAGATTTTCATTTTGGTTCATTTTCCAGAAATTTTTAGGTTTTTGGTTGGTGCTGTGCCTAGTTCTGTACCCCTTTGGAATCCTCAGATTGTTGCGTGGAAAGGTTATCCTGTATGTGATCGATAGTGGTACTGCAGAATATGTTACCGTCTTTTTCGAAGGTGGCGAAGTAATGCTTTTTATGTCTTCTGGCAAGTCATTGAAAATTATTTCTCAGTATTTTTCTGTTCTGTATGGAAGTTTTAGTACATGTAGTTTGGTAGTTGTCTTCATATCTTTCATCATATCCTGTGGATACGGATAAAGTCCACATCTACAGAAAGATGCTTTAAACTTGGGAATGAATGTTGTCACTATTTTCAGTATTTTAATGCTCTTTATATGAAGTCCTGTGTTACGAGCTTTTATTTTTAAATTGGCCAGCTTCTGTGTTTCTAATACAGAAAAGCTTTTGAGGAAAGTATGCTTTTTCTGCTGGAATCTCATGAAATCTTAGGTTATGGAATAAATGCTCAAATACATGTGTTTTGTCATAGTGTTCTGAGCAGTAGCTCAGTTGATTTAGTATTTCCACGTTCCCTATGGTGTGAAAACTAGCAGGCTGACTTCTTTTAGGACCAGTGTTTGCATCATTATTTAAACAAAAATTACCTAAATGTTTACTGAACGCAGGATGTGGTTTTGTATATACACCCATGGATGCATTTCTGTATTTCACATGTCTTGGAATGAAAGTTAAGTTTTTCTGTTACTTTTCCTTGCAACTGTGTCAGATCCCTGTTATGTGGATGCTTTATCTGATGGCAAAACTATTTAAAGTTACTTCCACTAGAGTTGCTTTCTTGCCGCTCACTTTCCCAATTGCTTGTTCAGCCCATATGTCATAGTTTATCATCTACTCGGTTGTACTCCTGTATCTATTTATGGGCTTGTTCTGTCAAGAAGATTCTGAAATAAAAGGAAAAGTACAAATTGTGGTCTGCTGCCAGGAAAATACAATGTGTGAGAGGCATCTAAATACCTTGCTTATGTAGAAAAAGGGCATGTAAGCTGTATACCTCTTGACCCAATAAGACAGATTTATTCCAGCATCTGTAAAAACTATATTTCTGTGTGGTGATTGGAGAATTCTACTGAAGCTTGAGCTAGAATGCTCAATTGAGGGAATATGTGTTTATAAAATCAGTCTATTTCTAGTTTTTTTAAATTTAATTTGTTCCATTATATGCTTTTCTAAAGGTTTTTCTGAAACAGGAAATTGTAATGATTTAATTAAGAGATAGATGTGGTATTGCTGTTCTTAAGCCATGACTTTGTGAACAATATCACCAATCCTTGTTAGATTTAGATTTTGTTGTCCTGTCTCCAGGAAGAAGCAAACATATTTAAGCTCTGCAAAATACTGTTGGTCTGGATTATCTAACTACTTTCGTCGTATCTGTAAATTGGTGCATCATTTTGTGCAAATTTGACTGCAGGTCATTTGGAGTAAAAATAGTGGATTCTGAGCGTTATCCATGTATAACAATATTTTAACCTTGTAATTCTATGCACTTCAATGTGCTATTCCAACAGCAGGAGAAGCTTTTCTGGAAAATTTCTGAGCACCATCCTCATTTTAGAAGTAAGCTGAATGGAAAATTCTTGTTTATACCTGGAATTTGGGGATTTCATTTTTACAAATCATTAAATAAATGAGCTTCTTCCATTTAAAATTATTTTCTATCAATGAGTGACAAAGAAATAGTTACATTTCGTGTGAACTCAACAAAAGGTGGAGTCTAGTATATTGTCCAACACTAGAAGTTTAACATACAAAAAGTACTTTTCCTTGAGCACTTAAATATTTGTGTCAAGTTGACAGTTCCTAAACTTCTGGTTCCTAATTGTTTGAAGTAATACTTTGTTTTATTATAATTTTTTTGTTGTTTCTTATAGGTAATCTCATATACATAGGGTGAGTGAGACTTTTGAAAAGCAATGTGTATTTTGGCTGGCTTCCAAGTAGAGAAAGCAGTAGACTTAAGTTGTTTTTCGCTTCCATCGTTCCTCATCTTAACTTTTGGTGTTGAACAAATAAAAATTCCATTGATGCCTGCCGAATGCATGTAATTCTACTGCTGTTGAGAGACGGTGGTTCTGTGTGCTGACCGATCTGTGTGCTGCATTAGTGTACATGTGATCCAGATCAGGTGTGGATTTGCAAGTACATTTCTGTTGAATTAGCTGAAGCACATAAGACTGAATTTCTGCCAACTGCAGGAGAACAGGCAGTACCTCATTTAGTAGAAAGCCTTCTGGTATGAGGTTAACTCATCATGTTTTATGAATATATTCAAACTGGCAGCATGAGTTTATAGGATTAGCACTTTGTCTTGTGGATTATCACATTCTTCACCTAATATAGCAAATTTAGTGTTCAGGTTCTTAATATCTTGAAAGAAAAATGCAATAGATATGTCTTAAACATTCTTTAGAAGTGGATCCTGGAATCTAGGAGGTCACAGACCATATATTTGGCAACTGTAATTATCTGTCTTCTTTATGGATAATAATGTTTGCAGATTTAAGTTCAATGGATACCTTTACACACACAGAATCATGGAATTGTTTAGGTTGAAAAAGACCTCCAAGATCATCAAGTCCAACCCTTAACCTAGCACTGCCAAGTCCACCGCTAAACCATGTCCTAAGCACCTCATCTACGCATCTTTTCAATACCTCCAGGGATGGGGACTCAACCACTTCCCTGGGCAGCCCATTCCAATGCCTGATAACCCTTTTGGTGAAGAAGTTTTTCCTAATGTCCAATCTAAACTTCCCCGGTGCAACTTGAGGCCATTTCCTCTTGTCCTATCGCTTGTTACTTGGGAGGACAGACCAATGCCCACCTCGCTACAACCTCCTTTCAGGCTCTTGTAGTGAGCAATAAGGTCTCCCCTCAGCCTCCTTTTTTCCAGGCTAAACAACCCCAGTTCCCTCAGCTGCTCCTTAAAGGACTTGTGCTCTACACTCTTCACCAGCTTCGTTGCCCTTCTCTGGACATGCTCCAGTGCCTCGTTGTCCTTCTTGGAGTGAGGGGCCCAACACTGAACACAGTATTTGAGATGTGGCCTCACCGGTGTGGCGTACAGGGACATGACCACTTCCCTACTCCTGCTGGCTACACCATTCCTGACCCAAGTCAGGATGCTGTTGGCCTTCTTGGCCACCCGGGCACACTGCTGGCCCCCATTCAGCCAGTTGACCAGTACCCCCAGGTCTTTTTCTGCCAGGCAGCTTTCCAGGCACTCTTCCCCAAGCCTGTAGTGTTGTGTGGGGTTGTTGTGACCCATGTGCAGGACCCAGCACTGAGCCTCATTGAACCTCATACTCATGACCAACAGAGCCACTTCCCTATTCCTGAATAGATCTTGGTGATTAGTACTGGCACATTGGCACGTTGTGTTCTTAAAGATACCTGTTTTTTAACTTAAGACAGAATACTGTTCTTAATCTTTTTCATTGCCATTTTCTTGTTCCTTAAGGCAGTAACTAGAAGAATTCTATTCAGTTGTTGCTCTAAATCTTCACATCTCAGGTGTCTTTTTCTGGCTGCTTTTCTTTTGTTACAGACCAGCATCTTTTTGTCTGTTCAGTCAACTGACTCCCACTGCAAAATTTCAGAATGATGGTCCTCGCAGTCCTGGGCAATACCTACCTTCCTCCAGACCTGA